TTTTTTTTTTTTTTTTAAGTAAACTCCACACCCAGCATCGAGCCCAACTCAGGCTTGAACACAAGACTCAGATCAAGACCTGAACTGAGACCAAGAGTCGGATGCTTGGGGTGCCTGGTTATCTCAGTCAGTTAAGCATCTGACTCTTGATTTATGCTCAGGTCATGATCTCAGGGTTTGTGAGATCGAGCCCAGCATTGAGCCCAGCATCAGGCTGTGAGCTGACAGCACAGAGCTGGCCTGGGATTCTCACCCCCTCCCTCTGTCCTTCCCTTGTATGCGTGCTCTCTCTCAAAATAAATAAACAACAACAAAAAAAAGATGCTTAACTGACTGAGCCACCAGGCGCCCTGAGAGATTATTACGAATGCAAAAATCAGGAAGTCAAAAAGGGAAGGGAAGGTGTTAATCTACAGAACTAAAATAGCACAAACAAAAACTGAACACAAATTCAAAATAGTGTCTGAACTGGGATTAACACAAAGTTTAATCTCAGCAACAACATAAGCAATTTTTCCATTTTCTTATATTGATTCTGTCATAACCAAAGTTAATTAACAAGGGAACTTTAGTTGACTGGAATAAGCTTAAGGTTCAGATAACTTCCTTTCAAGTAAACAATACCAGCACACAACGGACTGTCAAGGAAGAACTGTCCTTTGAAACAGGACTGCATCTCACCTTTCATTTGTAGAGTTCGTCGAGAATATCGTTTGCTGGGTCTTCTTTCAAAGGATGTTGATCTTCTTGCTTTATTGGTTTTTGTGGTCTGATACTCAGTTTTCCCACTAAAATAAATGAGGCATATTAACAAGAATAAGAGAATTTGAGGCCTACAGTAATCAGATACACATGAGAAAAAGTCTATATTAAGACTGTCCTTAAAAGAACCCGCCTGAGCTTCATCCTGAAGGAACTACGACGAACAGGCTTGATGTCTGTCTTTACCACATCATTCTTCTACTCTTTAGGCTTGTGCGAAATACGCAACGTACAAATTATATTTTTTTTTTCTTAAACATGCATATAACTAAGAATATACTGAGTAAGTTTGGAATATCTGTACTCTTATGCAACTCTTTTCCCATCCTTATTCATTTACCTCGTGCAAAATATGCAATTAACTCAAGATTTTGTTATTTATTCTAATTGTGATACATTTTTCAGATAATTTTCCAGAAATATTTACAACTATTTTCCCATTCTCTTTGATTTGCATTTAAATTCTGTTAAGAAAATGCCTCCTCACTTTTAATATAGGTAGAATAGAGCTCTACTTACATGAATCCCACCCACACAATCAACTATCAACAATATGGAATAGTATCCATTCCTACTTTAAATCACAGTGACTCTCATGACATGCTGAAAACTCCTAATGATCTACTCTCAGGTAAACCAAAACATTTCTAATTTATGACCAACACACAAGGAGTCTATAAAAATAACTTCATTTTTATAAAGGACCAGAAATGTTACTCAGATGCATTTCCCACTCAGCGCACAATACCTTTTTCTATATGGTATTCAGCTAATGGATGGAGACTCTTTAAAAACTCTTATTGTATGAATTTAAATGGACGATTAATATATAAAGTAAATGTCAAGAGGGATACAGAATCCATTATATCATTACAATGTTTTATTGGCTATTCAAGAAACTACAACCACGCTGTCAGCATGGAGCCTGCTTAGGATTCTGTCTCTCCCCCTCTCTGTCCCTCCCCTGTTTGCTCTCTGTAGCTCTCAAAATAAATAAAAATAAACTTTAAGAAAAATGAAATTACAACCCATAACAATACTACTTTGTCTTTTAATCTGGCCAGTGGAAAACATTGGAAACCACTTTGTTTCTATGCCTTGGTTTCTACATCTGTAAAATGAGAGGTCAGCCTAAACTTTTTGCTTTATGAAAGAACAGATATTCTTTCATATGAAAATTATGAAAGCAGATATTGACATTCACCTATATCTAAATCGTGATCCTAGTCGAATAAATCCCGATCGATGAGAACTCTTTTGGACTGGGCCTCGGAGGCGAAAGAAGGCATGATGTTCCACAGCACATTTCCATAAATGTTTGCACGCTTTTGGATGATCCAATCTAAAGACAAATGTATGCTCCTGCTCTTTGCCCTGGAAAAAAAAAAAAAAAAGGATGTAAAGAGAGGTAATTATTAGGTTAAACAGTCCTTTCTGTCCCTTGTTACTCAGCTATAAATACAATCACAGCAATACCAAGAACAGAATAATAAAGCATCTAGTTTGCTCCCGGAAACTAAGACATTCTCTATAGCTATCTACATAAAAAGGCAGAGTTGAAATCAAGCTGTCCACTTTCACAGCCAATATAAAATTATTCCTAAGAGGGTCATCTCTACTTACATGATCTCATTTCTTAGAGAAACATAAAAATGAGGCTTTATTTGCCATACTTTGGGATAAATATATAATTATCATGTAAAGGATCATACAAGATGTGGCAATATATATCAACAGACTTAAAAAGGTGCATATTCTTGGGGCACCTGGGTGGCTTAGTCAGTTAGGCATTCGACTTCGGCTCAGGTCATGATCTGACAGTTGGTGGGTTCAAGCCTTGTGTCGGGCTCTGTGCTGACAACTCAGAGCCTGGAGCCTGCTTCAGATTCTGTGTCTCCCTCTCTCTCTACCCCTCCCCCACTCTTGCTTCTGTTTCTGTCTCTCAAAAATAAATAAAAATGTTAAAAAAAAAAAAGAAAAAACGGTGCACATTCTTTGTCACAGTAACCATATTCCTGGGAATCCAAGTAATAATTAACATTCATAGGCACTTTTTAAGGATTTCACATGGATTAATTCAATGAACAGATATTATCATTAGCTTCATTTCATAGATAGGGAATTGAAGCTCAAGAAATAAAGCCCAAGGTCACAAAGAAGAAATCAGAACCTAACTATTTGTGCTCCAGGACCTGGTTGTAACAATTAAGCTTCACCATCTGTTTAGGGAGAAAGATTTTCTTAACACCAAAATGTATATCCAAAGATTTTCTTCACAATCTCATTTATAATAGTAAGTATTGCAATAAAACACTAAATGTCCAAAACAAATTATCAGTAAATAACATTAAAAATGATACAAAAAGATAAATGAGGGGTGCCTGGGTGGCTCAGTTGGTTAAGTGTCCAACTTTGGCTCAGGTCATGATCTCAAGGTCTGTGAGTTCGAGCCCCACGTTGGGCTCTGTGCTGACAGCTCAGAGCCTGGAGCCTGCTTCAGATTCTGTGTCTCATTCTCTCTCTGCCCCTCTCCTGCTCACACTCTGTCTTTTTCTCTCTCAAAATAATAAACATTAAAAAAAATTTTTTAGGGGCGCCTGGGTGGCGCAGTCGGTTAAGCGTCCGACTTCAGCCAGGTCACGATCTCGCGGTCTGTGGGTTCGAGCCCCGCGTCGGGCTCTGGGCT